GATTAATAAACAAGAACAAAGGTGGCCGGTTTTACCCAAGCAAAAACGACCCAATTTTTTGGGTTATTTATCTAGATTCAGCTCCACGTACATCTAGACGCACGTGGACCTGAATCTAGATAAATAACCCAAAAAATTAGGTCGTTTTTGCTTGGGTATCTGGCCCACCCGTTAATCTGTCCCTTGAGAAACACGTGCTGTCTAGTCTCATTCCATCATCTCGATACTACACTGCAAGTTATGTCAATCAGTGATCATTTTGAACAAGTGCGCGTAGTTAATACATGAGGATTTCATACAAAACCTACAAAAAATTGTCCAGAATTTTATAAAAGCTAAAAACTGGCCATCGATTTTCCATGAAAACACTGTTGATTATTAGGTATCTCTCCTCAGATACCTCAATAATTTTAAAGAAATTAGTAAAATCGCGATTTCAGGGAAAAAAATAACTATATAATCGTGATTTCTCTAATTCGTTTAAAATCGTCAACGTATCTGAAGAAAATGAATAATTAATAGTGTTTTCATGGAAAATCGATGACGCCATTTCAGCTTCTATAAAATTCTGGTTATGTATAAAATTTTTCTGTTTATATCACACGTGTCTCTATCTATAACATCTCTTTATAACTCATCACAGAGTATACAGGCTTTGGTCATTGATCAAGGATATAAGCTGTATAGGCTGACCAGTGGGGGTAGAATATATTATAGCAGTGCACTGGATGTCGAACCCCATAGTTTAATTTCGGACAATTTAGTCCAAAAGTAAATCCTTTGCATTTGAGTTCAAAGTTCAGGTGTTCGATTCCATCAACTGTGTAGTGTTATTTGTGCTTTGTCATTCTGTTCTATCCTAATCTCACAATCAACTTCACCAGGTAGCGGCAGCTATTTTTCGTTACCATTACCACATTACTGTACGAGCTACCCGCTATCGTTACTCGATGTTAGGAATGTGTATGTGTCAGAATATTCCTAAGGTTCTCTTTCTCATCACTATTCCTTTTGTCGTCATTATCCTTGCGTCATTAGTTTCTTTACGCATACTTTGTCTTGGTGCTTATACACAGTGTTTTTTAGGTTCAGAAGAAGAAAGCTTTTTAGTGTTTTTGTTCGCCTAATTTTGTCAGTAAAATAAAATAAGACATAGCAATGCTGCACTAGTCGACCTTCCGTTATAACATATGGTCATTATCCGGGCATCCGATTTTACAGCACCCACAACAACTTCCGCATCACCATTTACTTGATTTTCCTAACATTGAAATTAAACAGACAAATCATCTTACATCACAGCCCTATTTATAAATAATGTGAATCGCATCGATTCACTAAGTCCATTGCCTGTAAGTCGAATGAATTTACTGTCGGGAGTATTATTCATTCTGTTGTGCCTCGATCTTTTTACTACAGAATTAAGCGATATTTTTTACGATGAGAACGTCTATATTTTCCACCTTAGTTTATAGAAGCAGGTGCTATAGTTTCTCATCAGTCAGAAAAGTTTATCAGAGTGAGACTGTTTTTCTAAGCCAAGTAGCGAATAGAAGTCAAGTCTATCGAATCAGCATGAGTTCTCAAGTTGTGACTCTCAAAAGTTTGAAAGCGGTATAGCCTTGTTTAGTCAATCTGTGTAGTACATCGAGTCTCTGTAATTTGACTTGGTTTTATCTGTAATACAGACTTTCGAAATGGACGTAATATTGACTAATCTCTCAGTCTTTTAACTCCTGATAACGGAACCTAAATGAGAGTAACGTTTGTCCTTGTTCGAGGAAAAGCGGCTGTCAGATATATCATGGATAAGCCAATGATAAGGAAGGAAACTAGACGCTTCTTTAAGCATGAGACAGAAAAGAATGTAACGCTCATCCGCACTATCTGCGCTTGACTTTAGGAACTTATACCTGCGAACGGCACTCCATGACTTTGAATAGAAAAGCTTAATGTTACTAATCCTTCGATTTTCCCTCTTTATGTGTTCTCGTATTCTGACTCTTTATAAGCGATTATTGTTCTCCAGTGATTTGCTCTCTACTTTTACCGAATGACTAACCATCAGTAAATAATCAGAGACACTGTTTGAGACTTCACCCACGAAGTCCCAAGCAGTAGATGAAGACTCAACAGACAAGATCTAACACCAGAAAACGCATTATTCATTTTCATATGCGTTTTCTGGCACTGTGTTTTCTCATGCAGAAGCAAACAAAGAAAACGATAGTTTTTGTCTTTTATCGCAGAATCTTTTTCTGTATTATACTGCGTGTGATTTTTCAATACAATTGTTATCACAACAAAACGATGACTCATTGCAATGACTTAACGATGAGTAATCATATTTAGTGTATAATTTGAAAAAGCGGAATTTGTGCAGACTTATATCTATATCAATGGTTCCTTTTCCACTACCTAGGCGCAGAAAAAGCATGGAGTATCATCCAATGTATCCAGATTCGTCAATTTACTGGTCGGTGCATCTGAATGCGTAAAAAGAAAGTCATCGAGACATTGCATGTTGTATCTAGACAAGATCTGCATTGTATGTCATTGTGCTCAACCTGATTCATCTAGATAAGTCAATTCTTTTAGTCTTTTACCTAGATGTTCTTGGTGGCGCATTGCCCAATGCTCCAGCAAGAATATCTAGATTTTTCCGCTGTGCAATTTTTGCTTGGGTATTGAGCCACTTAGAAAATTTTTTCTACGTGACTCTTCTTAGCTTCGAGGAGAGCGGTGAGAGTGGAGGTACTGAGTAGGGTCAGGGACCACGCGGATTGCCTATGAGCGGCTTCGATGGCCCTGCCCGTGATACTGTTTTCAGAACAGCGCATGAAGCTTTAAGGTAGCTACGCGGGTAATATTTTATGCATGAAAAACGATGATCATTTCTTGCGTTTTATCGCAAAACTTTTTCTCTTTGCAGAAAATCACAGAAGAAAATTCATCCGTGTGACGTTACGTGAGACACGGAATTTTACTACAGGTTCTTGCAAAACACCGGACGCGAATTTCTGCAATTTTTTGCATTAAATATCTTTCGAAATTTCGACATGGATATATGTACGTAACATTGTATCATTCGCATTGTCGCCGTTATCCATTCATTATTTTTTGTTGTCACTATTGTTTTCTATCGTTTAAATAAATATACATTTTTAACGCTCAGCGATGTTCTGACCCAAGGCTAACAGTGTCTCAATTGTCTTGTGTCAGTAGTGCAGAGAAATCTAATGAGTTTTGTGCTTCGAATGTTATATGAGTGTTTCTACATTTTTTAACAACTTTCTTTGAATGAGACAGTATTATCAGCTGCATTTGTTGTGATCAGGCATGTGGCGGTATCGTGCAACACAACAGCTTCGATCTACTGCTAATGTTCGCATAATGGCTTCGAAAACTGTAAATCGATTACTTTTTCGTTGCTTTAGTAAGCAGAATATCCTTAAGTTGCTCTCACATTAGAGTTATTGCGGTCTTGTACCAGCACAAAAAAGGTGTTTTTGAATTATCCTTTTGACTGTTTATGATGTACATAAAAAACATTTGAATTTTTTCCTCACCAGTTTTTCCTTCTGGAGAGGGAACAACAAGAATGCTTTTAACACGAAAAATTCTAAGTTTTAGAAAAAGATTTCTCTTGCCTTTGACGCACGAATAATCAAACATTGTGTATCATTCGTCGTCTTTTAGCTCATAAAGATGTACGCAGCCTCTTTACAGTGAAATGGCACACTATGCTAAGGTTGAAGCCAATGTGCAGCCACGGACATCTCCAACTCACGTTTCGAAATCCTCAATACCTCAAGTTACCTTACACGCAGCAAACTTAGAGACATATGCGCTAATCCTGTTAGATGTTAATATTGGTACAACATATGATAATATCGACATTATTTAAAGATAAAAAACAGTGTGAGTAAACAGAACGAAAGAAAAAGCGCTCTTGACATGCAAAAGTATTCTTATTTTCTTGCTCATACTGCAAAAACAAGCGGACAAACGAAAAAAAATTCTACTTAAAGCAAAAATCTTCATCATAAAGCTTCATTTTTTAAGATCATAAATAAATTGTGAAACGATTCGAGCAAAAGCAAAAGACGAGTACAAGTGAGAATTATAGTGTTCCAGATCCAGACAGAATGCAATACAGAGATCAGATGAATAAGGTTACATCTTCGAGAAGACTGTAACGAACAAAACGAGCAAAAAGAAGAAACCTTGATAGGCCCTGAAAGACTACGGAGATTTTGATAAGTTTTTACCATAGTTCTATGTAGACTTGATCTAAGCCTCCCTTGTGCTAATGAAACTACAAATACTAGAAGGTGGGTCGCATCTAATCTTCTCTAATATTAATAAATATACATGACTTCTTTCCGTAGAGTATTTATAATGGTGTCGACTTCAACATCCTTCAAAAATGCTGTCGCGCTTATCACCGGTGCAAACAAAGTAACCAGTAGAAAAAAAATAAGAGTTGAAACACGAATGATTCAGTCGATTTATTGTAGGGTATTGGTTTTGAAACAGCACGACAGCTTGGTGAGCAGGGTATAATTGTTTTGATTGGAGCTAGAGACCAAAACCGTGGTGAAGAAGCTGTTAAAAAACTGGTAAATGAAAATATAAAGGCTAAGTGGATTGAACTTGATGTAACGAAACAACAAACGGTCGATAGTGCAGCACATATAGTTGAAGAAGAGTTTGGCCGATTAGACATACTAATTAATAATGCAGCAGTGTATTTAGAAGGAGAACTACCGAGCGAGACACAAATAAGTAAAATGCGTGCAACTTTTGAGACGAACTTCTTTGGAGCATTCATCGTGATAAAAGCGTTTATACCATTATTAAAAAAATCACAGAACGCTGGCGGTGGCTGTATTGTTAACGTATCAAGTCGATTGGCATCATTTGGAAATAATGTTGAAAAAACCCGATTATCTTATGCTACATCGAAAGCAGCACTAAATATGATGACATATCAATTTGCGAAAGAATTCGAGAATGAAAAATCAAATATAAAAATAAATAGTGTTAATCCAGGTAAAAAACACATTCTGATACGCAAAGTTTTCTTTGAAACTTTTTCTCTTTTAAGGATTAGCCAAAACCGACATGAACAACAATAACGACAAATATGACTCTCCGGAAGTAGCTGCTAGGTCAATTGTTTATTTTGCAACATTGCCACCAAACGGACCTTCCGGATCATTTTATGGTCGGGATAAAACTCAACACGCTTGGTGAAACGTAATAAAATATCTGTTGGATTCTTTGTTTACTTTCTCTATGTTTATGTTTTGTACATCGACAAAAAGCGTAATGTAGTTGAAACTAATAAAGTAAACTTCAAAGTTAAGTTCACTAAACCGTTTTGACTCTCGATGCACGCTTCTGAAGTCCTACACTCAGTAATTCTATCCATACACACTACGTCACAGAGCTCATTCCTTCAAAATCGTTTACCCATATAAATATATTTTTGACAATAAAGCAATAGTGTGTCTTAACAAACCTCTTCCTAAGTTTTTTAATTACGAATAAAGAATACATGTTTCATCGCAAGTGTGCATTGGTGAAAACTTATCCTCAACACAGCCAGAATCAGCAGAATTTCCAAAATGTTCGATAATTTTTCCAACCGGAGGAAACTTAGGCATGAATGTGCTCCTAGTTCATTGCGGACGGCAGAAATTCCCACCGCTATTTTAAACGTTCGCAAGTCAGAAGAAGCGAATCGGGAAGTACGGTAGTAGTACCTTATTTTTTAAACTTACTGATAAATTAAAGTCAGAAGCAGAAAACTCTGAATTATTCTTTCATTCAGTTAGTGTGCAGCAGCGGATGTGATACGGAATCTGAATTAAAATTCTTACAAAGAATTAGAGAATCATGCGAAACAATAATATGTGATAAGTTCAAGACGAAGTTATATTAAAATTGTAATAACGGCTATATCCACCAGTAACATCAGTTGTTTCGTCAGTTTTCTAACTTCAGTATCTTCAAGATCGATTTTCAAAAATGTAAGAGTGATGGCGGTGTATTTGATATCTGTGCGGCATCTTCAATTTCATCAATACACAGCTAGTTCTTTCTTAATGAGAGTTTGATGAGAAATTGATAACATCTCACTACGTGTGCCCTGTGTGCGAAATGTGTTAGCTTGATCGTCAGAAAATAAAAGTAAACATTTCTCATGCGTTTCAACATAAATATTTTGCCTTTAAGGTAAGAGATGCGGTCGAGTTTCCAGAAATCCCCTACAAAAACCTGTTTTAGAAAAGTGATCTGAAAATTTCTGCTTTAGGAAACATTCCCCAATTCTCCTTCGAATGCCGAAAACCGAAGGTCTCTGCTTTTGTCGAAAGTTATTCAAAAAATAGCTACTGGACTCTTAAGTTGAAAAGGATAATAAGTGATAATTACGACGAACGCTGTTTGAGACGAATAGGATACTAAGATATAAAGTTCCCAGAATAATGTCCCTATCAATAGAATTATACTTACAATTCGTTAACTCGAACGGAATTAGAAAATACTAGACTAGTGTTGAAGCTGAAATTTTCCAACAACGCACAATTCACGCGAGTTCGGATCGATCTTAAGTTGATGAAAACACATGGGGCTAGAGGCTAATAGAGCCGGATTTCTGATATTATTCTATTCAAATTAATAGTTGGCGTCAAAAGTCCAAAATTCGAAAAAGTCTCATTAACTCTGGAAAAGATGTTTTTCTAATCACAAATCTGGACCGAATGTCAAAAATCGGGCTCTGTCAGCCTCTAGCCATATGTGTCAGCTTCAATTTAAGACCTTCCCGAGCTCTCTGCGATGTTTCGTTACCGAGAAATCTGGGAGCTACGAAATACTGTTAATGTGAAAGTCGCTTGCGCGATATGGTTGTGTCAGTACCCAATGCTTGTTTTATGGCTTCCAGCAAAACTCTCATAACTCTTGGTCAAAACATAATTCAGAGCTGGGAGATATCTCATCTTGATTAGAAATGCTGGTTCTCTATTTTCTGGTATTATTGAAAACATTTTTGGCTGTGTTCTTTTATCGAAAAGTAAACTTTTTGAAAATCCGGCCTTCAAGGTTTCAGAAAACGTTTCCAAAAACTTCCATACCCGTTCGATGAGGATCAAACAACATTGGATCCTGATAGTGGATACTGTGGGCTATCAACAGTAATTACACACAGAGACATCGGGTACAAAAATGCTTATGGGAGTTGGGTTCAGCAATCAAAATTCCATTTGATTTTGAGTCAAATACCTTAACCACTCGCCCATCACAGCACACATATTCCACCATATTTGTTAAACGTAAAAATACCGTGGTACTATAAAAATAACCAGGAGGAAAACGGGTGCAAAGAAGTCTCGATGTTTCGACAACTGTTCGCGAAACATGTAGCAACTATCAGTCCGGTTGCAGAAGTAAAGTCTGCGCTCAACAATATGAGCTAC